TCATCCAGAACAGGATGACTGTAGTTTTCCTCTGGCTCTCATAAATGACGCTTGTGAAAACCACAAAGTTCATGAGCATTTTGACAGGATTTTTTTGTCCCCATTTAGTAAAGAGATATGCATTAAAACCTTGAGAATGAAAAAATATTTGAAGTTTTCACCGGTAATCAAGCTGGTAGTGGCCAAATGCCCTTCTCATTGTTCTTTATGTGTCTCAGAGCAAATAAGATAATCAGAAAATTCAGGTCAGCAGGGACCTCAGGAGGTTACCTTGTCCGACTTTGTGCTCAAAGAATATGTTAGCATTTCAATTTTAGAATTCAGGAAGCTAAGGTACAAGATTTAAGTGCCTTTTTGTGTGGCTTCATGCAAATAACCTGTTTAAAGAAGTAGTTGATCTTGCCTTTTTTGTGACTGCAAGATCATCTTGACTTGGAGAGATGGGTATTTTTTACCCAACAAGTTGGAAAAGGGGATGAATAAGCATCTTTAATGCCTTCTTAAGACTAATTGTGACACCAGTTCTGAGGACAAGATACTTAAGATGATAGGAAATTCATTTGCAAATGTGCCTTCTAAAATTGTTCTTTGTTTCTCTGTTTTGTTTGGAACAGTTACATGATCACACTATGTTGTTGCATGTTTTCAGACATGCAGGTAGAGCTGCTGCATTAGCAGAATTAGAGAATAAAGTTGAAAACAGACCTGGAGTCTAAATTCAGTAGCATGATAAACATCTCAGTCACTGTTGCTACAGCTTTGCAGACTAGCTTAAGTTTCACTTAAATCTGAGGACAATTATTGGGCCATTTGTCCACAATAGCCAGGAAGAACACTAAAATATTTGCTTGGAAATCTTCCTAAATGTTAGTGTTGTAATGACAGGAATGCCCAGCCTCTCTTCCTCTGCAGCACAGTGTGATCTCCCAAGTCAAATTCTCTGATGAGTGAGAGTTCACATTTGAGGTTTTGCTTCCTTTTTATAGGCCCCTTCTGGTCTTCTGTCTAGGAGTGCACTGATGGAGTTTCATGTTCCCCAGAGGTGAATTCCTCTTCCCTTTACCTCCTGGCAAGAGTTGAGAGGTCAATTGTCCTCTCCTCTGATGAGAACATCCACCCGCCATTGCAGCGTTGTTGTATGTGGTTGTGGAAGGTCATCTTGAATTAATCAGATGATGTTTACAAAAGTGGGGGAGAAATAAGGAGTTCAATACAATCTTCAGTTTCTCATTGCTACATGAACTTTCTTACAAAAAACTTTCAGCTATAGTTTTGAAGTAGAAAAATGCTATAGAAATGAAGCTTGATATTTATTTTGCTTTAAAATATTAGTGGAGCTGAGAAGGTTACCCACTTCACCTCAGATTCTGAAGTAAAGTGTAACGTTAAATTTTGCAGTGTCCCACTAAACTCAGGACAGTATGTGAGTGATTTTGAGACAGAAGTTTATCATACTATTCTATACTGCAGATCCTTATCAACAAGGTCATAAGAGTATCACCGTAAGAGTTCTGAAAAAGTATCTACAAAAGAGCTGGTAACATGGATAAGTATACTTCACTTTGACCACAAAATTAAACAAAGCCCATCCCATCTTATCTGTTTTTAAGGATTTAAATGAATGAGAATGAAAATCTTTGTAAGGCATTGTATGCAAAATAACTAACAGCTCAGAAAACACCAGCAAACTAATTGTTGCTTCTGAGGCATTTAGCCATATGTTCTGGTTTGGTTTGGTGGGTTTTTTGGCAGTGGGGGAAGGACTTCAGGAGTGGCTTGGGTAAGAAGCTGAGAAGCTTCCCCTGCTCCAAAAGCAGCCAAGGAGCCATTAGAGGGACAATAGATGCACCTCAGTGGTTAACATACAGAAGATCTGAAATGAGAGCTGAGCAGAGCAAGCACTTAAAGATGGAGAAGAGCTGTGCTGAAGTGGGAGAGCAGTGCTGGTGGTTTGTGAGGAAGGAGCTTTGTCCTAATCCCAGTATGTGTGTGTGAGGGGAGTTGAGTGAGTGGCCATGAGGCTGTTCCTTTGTTGTTGTGTTGGGCCCAAACCACGACATTATTGGCAAGCCAGCCAGGAGAGAGACAAGGAACCACAACACGATAGGGCTTTCGTTATTGCTTATAGACTCTGACATTTTAGAAATGTGAAAATATTTTAACTGAGTCCCCAGTGTTTTGGATGATTGGTAGTCAGGTTTGCTGAAGTTACAGTAGATGGAATTGTTGAGCAGGGACATGCTGGTGGTCATCTCATGTGCGTGTGCAGGAGAACAGGGAAACTAATGGAAATCATGGACACTTCAGAATTTTGTTTATTGATGACATCTGGAAAGAAGAGCTAGATCTAATTAGTTAATACCACAAAAGATCCTGAACCCACGCCTTCCACGCTCCAGGCAAGTGCGTAACTGTTGGGCTAATTAGCTCTGATTAACAGCCCAACAGTTACTCATTTGCTTGGAGCGTGGAAGGCGTGGGTTCAGGTTCTGCTGTTGTTGCATTCAGAGCAAGGACCTGAACTGGGGTCTCTGGTGTACAAAGGAACTGTCTTAACCACCAAAGTCCTGACATATTCAAGGTGCTTCATAGAGCTTTTTTAGCGGTTCCTCAGAGTAAGTGTCAGGAGAAATGCAGCAGACCTGAAATAACTATTTTACTGCATGCAGGAGAATTTTAATATTTAAATGAAATTAAATTTTAAAGTTAAATGTTTACATTTTCTATTTCATTTTGCAAAAATGCAGCAGATTTTTCTCACTGTGTTATGTGTTGTACTGAAAGTGTCTTTTGGATTAAAATAGGAGGAGACCATGAATTTTTCATACTGATTTTTGTGTTTTGGAATGCAAAAATCAAATGAGAGGTTAATAACAGGATTAAGTTTTCCCTTTTCATATTTCTTCATTTATTAATTTTGAACAGAATTTGTACAAGTTAAATAGCTTTCCTGCTTCTGAAACTCAGATGATCATAGAAAACACTGTTCAGCTTGAGTGGTTGAATGATTTAATACAATAAGGAAATTTGAATTCCTTACTTTCCCTTTAAAGTTTAAATTTATTGGTAGTTTTGGTGCTTTCTTGGAGAAAGGCTCTGACCGCTTGACTATAAACTGCAATTATGTGTAAGAATTGACATGTTATCTGTACAACAGAGATTATGCTTTAGATTGACTGCCCAGTTCGAACATGAGCGATCAAACACAGCCCAGATCTTTAGGATCTGAGCAATGAAAGGTCAATTTCTAAAAAAGAGAGTGGTGTCACTGAGGGACTAATTGCCTTGTCTTGTGGGCAGAAGCAAGCACAGGCCTACCAGTGTTTCAGGCACCAAGATCTGTAGAGGTCAGATTTACTCAAAGATTCAGTAGGCAGCAGTGTGGAAGTTAATAGAGGCTCTTTGCACACTTGTACTGTCATCAGTTCCTTACCATAATGCACAGTTACTCCCAAAGTAAGTCAAGAAGAAAGACAAAAAAAAAGCCTGGATTGCTGATACAGTGAGTGTGAGTCATGATGTAGGGACTCAGGGCAGGTCAGGCATGTAGGGGATGGGTTCTACCTCTTGGAGGATGGGATTGGAAAGGTTGAAGTTTCCTTTTTGGGTGTAAAATGAGAGAATGTCTAGAAATGGTGATGGGGTTAAAGGTCCTTTTACACAGAAGCATTTTGACCAGCTGTAT